ACTGTTGGTGGGACCGCAGATTGGTGCAGCCATTATGGAAATCAGTATGGAGGTATCTCAAAAAACTGGAAATGGAACTACCATATGACCCAGCAATTCCACTCTTGGATAACTATCCAGAGAAACCCAAGACACTAATTCAAAAAAATATATGCACCCCTATGTTTAGCGCAGCATTATTTACAATAGCCAAGACTTGGAAACAACCGAAATGCCCATTGGTAGACGACTGGATTACGAAGCTGTGGTACATTTATACAACGGAGTATTACTCAGCTATAAAGAAGAATGAAGTCGTACCATTTGCAACAATATGGATGGATCTAGAGATTATTATGTTAAGTGAAATAAGTGAATCGGAGAAAGACAAATACCATATGATCGCACTTATATGTGGAACCTAAAGAACTGAATAAATGAGCTAACAAAACAGAAATAGTCTCAGAGGTATAGAGGAATAACTGATGGTTGCTCGTTGGGAGTGGGGTGGGGATAAGGGAGAAAGGGAAGGGATTAGACAGCATAAATAGGTAACTACAATATTGCCACAGGGATATGAAAGACAGTTCGGGAAATATAATAATGTTGTAAATATTTTGTAGGGTGTCAGATGGTCACATGTCTTGTTAGGGAGACCACTTCATGCATGGGGTAGAGGTTTGATCACTGCACTGTAGAACCTGAAGCTGAAGTTGTATAATATTGTATGTCAACTGTAATTGAATATATATATAGTCATGGGATGTGGAGTACAATGTGGGAGTGGAATCAATAGAATTGTAATAGATACGTATGGTATGGGGGGGAATGGGGTGGCGGATTGGGGGAGGAGGGTTGTCACTTTGAGGGGTAAAAAGCATAACTATTGCATTGCGTTGTACACCTGAAACTATTTTAGAAAAAAAGAAAAAATAAATGTAAAATTCCCAGCTGAAGTTTAAGATTACTGAATTAACTGAATTTCATTTATTAACAATGTTCTTGAACACAAACAGAAAGAAATAAGTTGGTTTTGTTTTCATTTCATTCATTTCGACCGATCGTTCATTGTATTAAGCTATAGAAGCAAATACAAGCTACCATAGTCTGTTTAACCCATATCCCTACAAGACAGGCATTAGCGTCATCTCTAATATTTTGCTACTTTAAATAAAACTGCAAGAAGTATCAATGTATATACATCCTTGAACATTTGTGTATATACTATATACTTCTGGAGGACTGCAGGGCCAAAAGGTATGCAACCCAAAACAATGATTAGAAATCTATTTCTTTTTGTATCTCTCAATTCCTTTAAAACGAGATTTTTACATGAAAACTAAAAAGACAACTTGAAAAAGAAGGCAAAGGAATTGGAGGAAAGCTCCCTGGAGGAAAACCCTCAGGTCAGAAATGTCTGACGCATAGAAAAAGTCAAGAACCGTATGATTTCACTGATATGTGGGATATAAAACTGAAAACAACAAAGGAACAAGAAAAACAAGTGAAGAAACAAAAACTCATAGACACAGACAATAGTTTAGTGGTTACCAGAGGATGCGGGGGAGGTGGGTGGTAGATGAGGGTAAATAGGATCAAATATATGGTGATGGAAGGAGAACTGACTCTGGGTGGTGAACACACAATGTGATGTATTACAGAATTGTACACCTGAAATCTATGTAATTTAACTAACAATTGTCACCCAAATAAACTTTAATTAAAAAAAAAAAGTCTGAGGCAGAGATGGCTAGACTTACTCTCAAAGATTCTTCTGTTTTCAAGACCTAACATTCTATGAGTCTAGTGTCTCGTCAGAGCTCAGCAAAGACTAGCCCAGGAGACAAGGAGAGGGCTGCCAGCCTCCAGGAGAGATCCCTAAAGGCGTGAATGCTAGTAGTCGCCTTTGGGCATTGGGCAGGTCAGCTCTCACTCCAGTGGGGGATCTGGAGCCCAGGAAACAGCCTGGACATTTGAGATAGCGGTGGTTTTTTAGGTGGTGGTTGTATTTGTTTTTCTGTTTTGTTTTGCCGACGAGCATTTTTACCTGGGTTCCAATTCAACCACGACTGCGTATTAGTAGCCCACATGCTAGGCTATAAGAAGAGGAGCAGGGGGCTGTGTGTTTCTAATTCTGTAACACATGCTTTTCTTCCAAATTTGATCTGACTTGGCCAATACAGGTAGCAGCTGGGGAATCCATCACTCAAATAGGGTAACCTACGTCTACCCCCGTCCGAACTCTTTATGACTCTAAAGTGACTGCCAGGGGAGAGGCTAG